GGCCACTGCATGTGGGTGCTGGACACTGTGGGGAGCAGGCTGCAGCTGTGCCCGGAACCCCACCCATGGGGTCCCCAACCCCACCTCCACCCAGGACGTCGCTGCAGTCTGCTTCCCTACCAGCCTCCCCTCTGCGCAGGCCAGGCAAGCCCTGCCCTCAGTGAAGCCCTCCCAGAGCACCCTGAAGGCTCCCACCACCGAACACTCTGCAGACTGGTCCGGGTAACTAGGGCTTCAGCAGGTGCCCAGGCCTGGAAAACAGGACCCTGACCTGACCCGACCTGCCCAGCACCTGCCCACGGCTTGCCCCTGCCCCACCCCTGCCACGACTCCAACTCTGGCCAGCCCAGCACCACAGCAAGCCCCGCCCACACAGGCCCCACCCAGGCAGCCGGCTGTAAAGGGCCCACCTCTCCAGCCCGCAGCCCTCCCTCCCCAGCACTGCAGCCCTGGAGCCAGTGGGCAGCCCGTGCTCTGCTGGGCACTCTCCAGGGGTGTTAACGTCACTGGAGCAGCTGCTGCTGGGCCCCCAAGTCCCCTTCTCTGAGCTCAGCTCCCATCCCCTGGGGCTGGGGCATGACTGCCAGCTGCTCACGGCTATCCCTGCCCCAGTACTGCTGGGAGGTTAAAGACAGACCCCGGTGGCCCCTGGCCAATGACTGGGGTATGCAGGGTGGACAGCCTGGCCTCAACGGACAGCCTCCGGAGAAACCCACAGTCCGCAGCTCAAGGTGGATCTGGTCGAGGTGTCTGCTTCCCCGATACACCCAAGTGCACCCAAATGCCTGTCCCCTCTGGTTTTAGGGACCCCAACCTAATACCAAGCATCACATGGGCACTTCAGGGTCACCGGAGGCAGTCCTGAGTGACCCAGGCCCTCCTGCCCCCCCACACAGCTAACAGAGCCCCCCCCCCCAGCATGCCCCTCACAGTGTGTGACCCAAGTATCCCCACCAGGGAATCACCTGACCCACAGGGGCCCAGTCCCCAAGCCCCTGCCTCGTCTGCACTCAGGACTGCGAGGGAGGGCCAGCCCTCTCTAGGCCTCCCGACCCTGGTTTGCCTGAGGCCTGAGGGAGATGAGCCTGCCTCTACCAGCCCCTGTCTGCTGCTCTGGTAAAAGAGGAACCACTTGCCCTGGCTCCAGGCTCAGCCTCCAGACACAGGGGGTGAGCAGGAGGTGCTCTGTGGGAGGCCAGCGCAGGCACAGTGGCCACAGAGGAAGTGGTGACATCTGCTGAAGGCAAAGGCCCAGGCTGGAGGCTGCTGGAGGAGGGTCCCACCTCTCCGCCACCTCCCTGGATCCCTGGGCCAGACTTGGACTCAGGATGCACCCCTTCAAGGCTACCTTTGTTTTTTGAGATGGAGTCTCATTCTGTTGCCCCGGTTCTAGCAATTCGCCTGCCTCAGCCTCCCGAGTAGCTGGGACCACAGGCACATGCCACCACACCCGGCTAATTTTTGCATTTCTAGCAGGGATGTCTGCTTCCCCAATACACCCGAGCGCACCCAAATGCCTGTCCCCGCCTCTGGTTTTGGGGACCCCAACCTAATACCAAGCATCACGTGGGCACTTCAGGGTCACCGGAGGCAGTCCTGAGTGACCCAGGCCCTCCTGCCCCCCCACACAGCTAACAGAGCACCCTCCCCAGCATGCCCCTCACAGTGTTTTCATCGTATTGGTCAGGCTGGTCTCAAACTCCTGACCTCAGGTGATCTGTCCACCTCAGCCTCCCAGTGCTGGGATGGCACAGCCCATCCACCAACTGGCTGTCCCAGGCAGCAGCCTGGGAGACGGTGCCAGGCTGCCCCCTACTCCCACCCATACTCCCAACATGACTTCTCCCCACAGGGCCTGGGAGAGCAGAGAGGCCCTCAGACCCACCACCCCGAGGCCCCCACTCAGCCTGGATGTAGGACTGGGAGGGGGCACTTCCGGGGAGCCGGCGGTGCATGCAGTCCTGATGGTGGCCAGCAGAGGGCGCGCAGGCTGGCAGGTGGGCACGGGCGCGCCAGCGCAGCTCACAGGCTCCCGGGAACACCACTGTGCACCCCCATCCCATACACGCAAGCCAGCACCAAGCTCATCACAGGCTGGGCGGTCAGGCACTCAGCATTCCCGGCTCACAGGGTGTGAGCTCCGTCAGCAAGAGCGGACCGGTCTGACTTTTCACCCACCCCTGCTCCTGGACACCCAAGGCCTTCGCAGTGCCCCCTCAGACCATGAGGCAGTGCTCATGCTTGGGCAGGGCTGGGGAGCTGCCTGGATCACGAATGACAGAGGATCACGACGGGGCCTGGGCCGGCCATTTCCTCTCCTCACCAGGGTGCTGTGGCCTCACTGAGGCCCCGACCCCCCAGGAACCCCCCCCATAGGAACCTCCCCCTCGCATGCTTGTGGCCAGGCGCACATCACCCCACTCCAGGTGGGGGCCCCAGGCCCAGAGGTCCCAGAAGTGGGGACATGGCCCCACTGGCTTCCTGTGTAGCCCCCAGCACCCCCAGAAACCTCAGTGCTCTGGGGGCTGACCCCAGACCCCCACCTGCCTGTGTCGGCTGGATCAGAACAGAGCAGGGCCAGGCCCCACAGCCGCCAGCCTCACCCAGCCCCCTCTGCCCACTAGTGATGGAGGCACACAAGGCAGGGCTTGGCCCCTGGGAGGCTTGAGGGAGACAGCAATGCTGGTGGATGTGATCAGTGGATGGCCACGGGAAGCCACACACTTATAGAAGTTTCCGGAAGGGCAGAAGCTGGCTTTGAGGGTCCACAGGGGTGAAGCCAGTGTCGGGACAAGCAGCAGAGGCTGGCTCAAGAGGAGGGGCAAGTGGCAGGTACCCAGGGTGGTCAACCTGAATTCCTGGCGCCACAGTGGGGGTGGAGCTGCATGCTGGAGGCCAGGGCTTGGGCAGCGCCACTGCCCAAGCTCCCCTGCAAGCTGGCCAGAGGCTGAGACCAGGGTTCAACCAGGAACGGACTCCAGGCCCACACCTGGCCTGGGACCTGCCACTTTATAGTCTTCCCCGTCCAGCTGCTCTGACCTCAGCCCACCTGCCCTAAAGTGCTGCCCCAGAGCAAGACGACCCTCTGCAGACCTCTCCTGGCTACAGCCGCCCCCCGACCCCTGGACCCCACTATCAGATGGCACCTTGAGTTTCCAGGATCCGGGCTGAGATCCACCCCAGCGTGGCGGGTACTCAATCTCTGGGAGGGGCAATAGCCCTTCTAGACCCAGGCCCAGGTGCCATTCTCCACCACAGGGGCCACTGCCCACCTCCCCAGGCCAAGGGTCACTGGACCCACTGGAGTCCTGCTGGCCGGCCAAAGGCCCATGACCTCTTCTCTGGCTGGGTGGCCCAGCTGCCTACTCGCCAGGTCTGGCTCAGACTGGGTGAGGCCAGGGCCTCCCCAGGAGGGCTGGGTAGCAGGTGATCTCTCCTTGGGTCCAGAAACACGCAGCGAGGGGCCAGGAGAAATGAGGGAGCCCGGTGCTCCACCCCCGCTCCCTGGGGGTCCCATGACCCCACTAGCACGGCGGTGGAAGCGGCCCCTTGGGATGCACCCAGACGTTCCGTGTGCTTTATTGGAATGCTGTCAGGTCCGTGCCTTCCACATGGGCCCTCACACAGCCAGTAGAGACCCCAGCGCCCGTCCTGGGGCACCTGCCCGCCCCTGCAGAAGGGAAAGGCCCTCACCCTCTGCGGAGGGGTCTCAGCCACCACATCCCCTTCCGAAGGTGGCCCCGACCCCTCCCTCCCAACACTGACTGCACTTCCCATCAGAAGGGACTGTCACGCTGCCCCCAAGCAAGGCACCTTCCCGGGGGGTGGGGGGGAAAGAGCTTGGGTTTGTGCAGCCAAGTGCCGGCGTAGAAATGGGCACGTGGAAACCACGCCCCACTGTCCAGGATGGAGTCCACCCCTCCGCAGAGTGCTCAGCCCACCAGGATCCAAGCAGCCCTTGGGGAAAACCACGAGGCCGCCCAAGCCTCAGCTCAGGACAGACATTCCAAGACCTCACGCTCTGCTCTCCGGGGCTGACTTCCTGGGACCTCTGTGTTGGCCACTTTGCCCTGAGGCTTCTCAGCACCCCAAGCCTCTGACCCCAGGTCCATCTACAGCAGGTGGCTGCTTTGGTGACCAAGTCTGTCTATGGCAGCCAAGTGCACAGGCCCTCCACGTCGGCTACCAAGGGGGCTGGTGCCCACAGGGAGGTGCGGGTACCAGGAGGGCTCCCTGAAATCTAGGGCCCATCCTGTGCCACAGGTGGCCGAGTCCCTGAGGTGGGACATGCACAGAGCTGCAGGGCCAGGCTGCTCCAGGAGTGCTGCAGATGGCGGCTGGAAAGTGGAGGAGGATGATGAGGAAGCGTGGCTGAGGCCATGGTGAGGAGCACGGCGGCAGGGGAGAGCACCTCACACACTGCACAAGCTTCCGGCACATGCACAGCTGGCCAAGACAGAGGGTCACACAGGGCAGATGAGGGAGGCTGAGTCAAACGCAGCAGCACGTCACCCAGTCCTCGGGGAAGGTCGGCATGGGCGGGCATGTCTTCAAGCCAGCCACGCTCGGGGCAGCCAATCAGACTCAAATGACGGAGAAGCCAGAAGGCGGCGCCGGAGGGACGTGGGCACAGCTACGTGCTGGGGGCTGACCAGGAGCTGGACCTTCCCCAGGCCCAGGCACTGCACACAGGTGACCCCAGCTCAGCTCCTGAATCTGGGCCCCTGCTACTGTCACACCCCCCTGCACCAGGGCCAAGGGCCCCCCCCACCGCCCCCCGCACTCCTTTGTCTAACAGGGCGTTCCCAGATAGTCAGTTTCCAGCACTGAGAACAGCTCAGGCACGGCCGCTGGGAGGTGTGTCCGGTGAATGTGGCTGGACGAGGCTGATGCAGGGAAGACACTGAGGGTAATGACAGGGATTCGACACACAGGCCCAGGCAGGCGTGGACTCGGGAGCGAGGGCAGTCGATGACAGTGTGAGTGCCAGTGTCGCCTTCAGCATTTCCATCTTTACCCCTCCAGTCACTCTCTTGAAAGAGAAAGAACTAGAGCAAATCCAGAGTTAAACATCTCCAGGAGACGTGGCTCCTCTCATCTCCGACAGCGCAGCACGTGGCCGATCCCCGACCCTGGAGATAATGTGTCAAACTGGCCGCCGGAACACACTTGCGAGGGTCTGTGCCACAGCCCACCTCCCAGTAAGCCACGCCAGGCCCCTGCTGGAGTCCAAGTGTGCCCAGGGAGTGTGGGATGGAGAGCAAGCTGCCCCACGCACCGAGACTCCCAAGGTGGACAGCGGCACGAACCCGGGTCTCCCCGGAGTCCTGCCTCCCGAGACGCTGTCCTCACACTGTGGTCGCTGATTCTTGGATCAAATGGAAAGAGAACGAGGGCAGAGTGCAGATATGAAGTCACCCAGGGCACTGGGGACAGGGCTGCCTGTGGCGGCCCTACCAGTTCTGGTTGTCCCAGCCGTTGTCGGCGGGCACAGCCGGCGGCACCGCCTTCTTGGCGCCCTCCCCGCCCTCCCCGCCGTCGCTGTTGCTGTTCCTGTTGGTGGAGGCTGAGCCCCACACCTCCCAGCTGTCGGAGCTCCTCCTCTCCGTGGAGGTGTCTGCGCAGGTCCAGCTGTCGCTGCTCGGGGACTTCCGGGCCTTGGCGGACTCGGTGCTCCCGAAGGTCTCCCAGAAGCTCTGGTCTATGGCGCTGTTCTGGAAGTGGTCCGGACCACTGTTCTGGTAACTGTGGCCCTCAGAGGAACTTTTAAAGAGACAGAAGGGGGACCGTGAATGCCACTCAGCCTACCACTCAGAATTCCACGCCCACCAGGCCCTGTGGCACCCTCCCAGGCCAGCATTCAGGGTCCGCAGCACCCTGCCAGGCAGGAGCTGGTTCTCCCATTTTAGAGCAGAAAAAACTGTGCCAGGGACCTGGAGAACCAGGGCCCACCCTTTTACAGAAAATTCCCTTTTCTACCAGCTCCAACCTGCTGTATCATCAGTGGTTTAGTTAAGTGGGGAGGGGGAGGGGCCCTGGCCTCACGTGGGACCCAGGCTCTCCCCAGAGATGCCTCATGAGGGGACCCAGGCTC